CTACTACTACTACTACTCTCTCTCTCTCTCTCTCTCTCTCTCTCTCTCTCTCTCTCTCTCTCTCTCTCTCTTGTTTACATGAGTTACAAAAGGATTGAACACTCCCTCTTGTTTATGTGTGTTCTCCCTTGTTTACATGAGTAAGAAAAAGATTGAGCTTTCTCACCTGTTTATATGAGTAATAAAGGGACCTCTCTCTCTATAGGTAGAGTTTGTATCTCTCTCTTGTTGGTCATGGATGGAAGCTGCCCTATATTCATTACATACATATTTAGTACAGTATGGGAAGTATAAAATTGGGCTTCTTATCTCTTGAAGAAGTCACAATCATCTTTGGCCTTCAGATATGAAATCTAGGGGCTACATGCATATCATGGATCTGTGCTCAAAGCCTTATGATATATATATATATATATATGATAGTGGTTTGTATAGAGCCGAGCTCTAAACAATCAAATTCGAGCCCACTTTCAAATAGTATCTAAAATTGTGGTTTCAATGCTGGAAATCTTTGTGATAGCCTTAAAATATACTTTCATCTTTAATTATTAAATTTAAAGTATCAAAAAATAGTGTAGGCTGAGCAGATCTACGAACACTTGAAAATCTTACAAATTGACGGTAAAAAAATTCGTTATAAGATGTACTATTTCCAAAACTTGAAATCCAATTTTTCTCTCATGTCCATGCATCATGATATCGACTTTGACAATGATTGTGTATACTTTTCCATACATGCTAATAGTAAAGATCAAATTGTCTTTTCTCGAAGGACTTTGACACACTAATAAAAAGGAGAAATTAAGATGGAGAGAAGACAGTGATATGCTGCAAGTGTCCATACATTTGGCAGCAGAGTGTTGTGAAGCATCGGGTACACAATGATATTGGGCGACCAAAATGCAGCCTCTAATGCTACTCCCAAGCGTCTCTCCAAGAAACTTTCACAATGATTGTTTGTGTATACTTTTCCATACAAAGCTAATACTAAAAATCGAATTGCCTACGCTACGCCTTCGGCTTTACGGATAAAAAGGAGAAATTAAGATGGACAAAAGAGACAGTCATGTGCTGCAAGTATCCATACATTTGCTTTGCTAACAGAGTGCTTTCAACTATCCGGTACTTTTCCATACAAAGCTAATAGTGAAGATCAAATTGCCTTTTCTTGAAGGCCTTTCACACACTAATAAAAACGGAGAAATTAAGATGGACAGAAGAGATAGTCATGTGCTGCAAGTGTCCATACATTTGCTAACGGAGTGTTGTGTTGTCAAGTATCCGGTACTGGGCAAGGCAACGAAAATGCACCCTCTAATGCTACTCTCAGCCGTCTCGCCAAGAGACTTTTGCACTGATCTTGCATACTCTTTCACACAAGCTAATAGTATGTATGTCATCCCCGGACTGTTTTTAAGTTTTGAAAAACAAAGTGGTTCGGGGATGCCATCCTCGAACTGGTTTTTTTTTTTAAAAAAAAAAAACTTAAAGTTGCGGTCCGATGATGGAATTTTCAGACCGAAACTTAACCTTTGAAAAAGAAAAGCGGTCCGGGGATAGCATCCCCATACCGCTTTTTTATTCCAAAACTTAAAGTTACGGTCCGAGCATGGCCTTTTCGAACCAAAACTTAAGTTTTTTTTTAAAAAAGCAATTCCAGAATGCCATCCTCGGACTGCAACTTAAGTTTTGATCAAAAAAAAACTGTCACTGAGGGGTAATTCTGTAAAAAAATCGTATTGACCCACCTTGATTGTAATTTTCGGGTATAAAGGGAGCAAGTCGTATTTTTGTAACTCATTTAGGATTTGTACGTAATTAACTCTTTTTTTCATAAAGCCTTGCCACTATAGAAATTGAATTGTTTTTCGGAAAAAGTTTATATAAGGATGCTACCTTATAATATAGAACTACGGATGCCCCTCAAAAATCCATCGGAAAAGGTAGTTTTAATGTTGAAAAACCCTTTGATTGATCATCTCGACATCGAGATGTATGACTATGAAAAATAAAAGATTTTAAGTCTCAGAAATAATGCATTTTACAACATATTATTTACACCGTCCATTCATGTGTTTATAGATCTACTTGATTTTAACCATTTTTGAATTTTAAACTAAATAGATATAGAAATAGATTTTGAGATAATCCTAAGAACATTTTACATCAAAATTATATATCATGATAAAAATTGAAGGTGCACCTTACCTCTACACCTACATATGCGCAAACTGCACCATTGTTTTTTTGTGATGAACTTGACTGGTTTTTTTTTTTTTTTTGAGTAATTAAGTGAAGAACACAAGTCCCTGCCTTTTTATTTTTTATTTTTTTTCAGATAGATTAGGAGGTACAAGTAGGTATTGTCAACAATTTTAAAACTTTTTGACTAATTCAATGGGAAAGATGGGCTGACGGCCCCTATATATTAGTTTTAGATAGATCGGGGATTTAGCTTTTGAAAGTGTCAGATCGGAAACTGGTAACTAAATATGGGGATGCCAGCCCCTGGCCTACCATACAAAACACACTCATCAACGTGAGGCACCTACCATTCAATCACATAAACGCTCTCATTAACGTGAGGCACCTCTCTCTCTCTCTTCCCACATTCATTCATCTGTTTCTAAGATTGGCCTGAATTTATGGCCGGAAAATCTCTCATGGATGAAGTTCCGGCGACTCGACACTTTGTTCTAGTACACGGGTTCTGTCATGGGGCTTGGTGTTGGCATAAAACCGGCTCTCTCTTGAAGAATTCTGTCTTCAAAGTAACCGCAGTCGATCTTGGTGGTGCAGGAATAATCCCGGAAATGCCAACTCCATTTTTTCATTTGAAGAGTACAATAAGCCCCTCATCGATCTCCTCTCTGCAAAACCTGAGGATGAAAAGGTGTGTGTGTGTATGAGAGAGAGAGAGAGATTCAGTCTGTGTGTGCTCTCTTTCATTCGAAGAGCACGATAAGCACCTCATCAATCTCTCTCTACAATTCTGAGGATGAAATGGTGCATATGTGTGTATCTGAGAGAGAGAGAAGCTTTTGAGTCTCTGTGTCTCAGAGGAGTGAGAGAGAGGCTTTTGAGTCTCTGTGTGTGTCAGAGGAGATAGAGAGAGAGAGGCTTTTGAGTCTTTGTTTGTGTCGGAGAGAAGCTTTTGAGCCTGTCTCAGAGGAGAGAAAGAAGCTTTTAAGTCTCTGTGCGTCTCCGAGGAGAGAGAGAGAGAGAGAGAGAGAGAGAGTAGTATAACTAATAGAAGTAGAGTAGAGCGANAGAGTAAGTATCACTACTTACCTTTAACTTCTTAGTTTCGGACGACGCGTACTTACTTACACTACTTACT